GGAGTGCACCATCCTCCGCGGGCCCGACGGAGCCAGCAAAGGTGGGAAGCAGGGAGCTGGGGGATGGGAGCTGCCAGCCGGGCAGCCCCCACAACCCCAACTCTCCCGTGCCCCCGCTCTGCCCGCAGGTTGTGCCTTTGTGAAGTACGGCAGCCACGCCGAGGCGCAGGCTGCCATCAACAGCCTGCACGGCAGCCAAACCATGCCGGTAAGCGCCGGGCGCACCCCGCGGCCCTCATCCTACCCCCTGTGCTGTCTCCATAATCCAATCACCGGCTAATTTGATCTGTCTAATTGGATCAAAATCCCAGTTTGTTGTCCACATCACCCTGAGGTTCATCCTTGCCGTGCGCTGGGGGTGGGTGCGTGGGGCTAATTCCCTCGCTCCAGGAGAAAGGTGTGATTTAATTAACACCGAAGGTCAAAACTGTGAGCAAGGGGGAAAGGAAAACAGCGGTCAGGGAGCAGCCGCTGGGAGGAAAGACGGCTGTAATTAAACCTCGCATCGATCACTGCTTGCTGCTGCCAACCAGGCGGCATCCCAGGGCTGCGGGGCGAGGACGCTGCGGCTGCCGGGAGCCAGCGGGCCGTCCCCAGAGCAGGGTGACATTTTGGGGTCACGCCAGGCCAGTGGCCCTGCCGTCAGCCCTGTCTCGCCCCCGCCCTAGGGTGCCTCGTCCAGCCTGGTGGTGAAGTTTGCGGACACGGACAAGGAGAGGACCCTGCGGCGGATGCATCAGATGGCCGGGCAGCTGGGCATCTTCAACCCCATGACCATCCAGTTCGGCGCCTACGGGGCCTACACGCAGGCGGTAGGAGGTGGCATGGGGTCAGCGCGGGAGGGGACGCGTCTTTTTTTTCGGGGAACGTGCTGGAAATGCTCTTACCCCCCTTGCCTCTTTTTTCCTCTGCACCTCGCTCACTTTTCCCTCTTTCCTCCCTCTGTTTCTCCTTCCCCCTTCAGATCATGCAGCAGCAGGCGGCCCTGATGGCGGCGGCGCAGGGGACCTGCCTGAACCCCATGGCTGCCATCGCTGCCGCCCAGATGCAGCAAATGGCCGCCTTCAACGTCAGCGGGCTGGTGGCTGCCCCCCTCACCCCTTCTTCAGGTACAGCCCCTGGCTTCACCCCTCCACCCACCTCCCCGGTGGCCTCGGCAGGGGGGGGACGCCAGCACTGACACCCTCCCTCCTGCCTGTGGGGCCGCAGGTACGAGCACTCCCCCCGGCATCAGCACGGCGCCCGTGCCCAGCATCGCCACGCCGATCGGGGTGAACGGCTTCAGCCCGCTGCCGCCGCAGACCAACGGGCAGCCTGCCTCTGAGACCATCTACACCAACGGCATCCACCCCTACCCAGGTGCCGGCCTCGGGCCGCCCCGCGCAGCGTGGGGGGGTGCCGGGGGCGCGTGCTGGGAGCTGGTCATCCTCGGCTTTCCCTTGCTTACTCTCTTCATTCTCCCTTCTTTTCTCTTCCCAGCTCAAAGCCCCACAGTGGCAGATCCCCTCCAGCAAGCCTACGCGGGCATGCAGCACTATGCAGGTCTCAAACCTCGCTTGCACGTCTCCTTCTCTCCCTGCTCTGCTCCGTGCCGGTTCCTGGAGGGGGGCCCTGAGCGCCGCGGGGGGGTTGAAGCCGGGCAGCGCGGCCCCACGTGTCCCGGGCACGGGTTAGGGCAGTAACACAACGAGAGAAGGGTGTCAGCGTGCTGTGGGAGTACTCTGAGCCCGGCAGTTGGCATTTAATTAGGAGCACCAGTGGTAATTTCCAGCTTTGCAACAGAAGATGAAGTTTCTGACCCCTGGTTATTATTTTGGCCAACCAAAAGTTGATAAAAGCCTCTTTCCTCCACCTTAAGGCCGTGTTACTGGTGCCCCCAGCATCCCTACTGGGAGAGCCGTTTGCGCAGGCCAGGGCCGTGCTGGCAGAGGCAGGCTGCACTGCAGGGGGAGCCAGCACCCCAGAAAGGCTTTGGCAGCCCAATTGCGCCCTCCCACGGTGCCACGTCCCACCCCGGTGCCACAAGGGAGGAACGGGACCTCAGCAAGCAGCCACCACCCGAGCGGTGACCACGGCTCCGCTCAGACCTCTGCGCCACCAAACCCCGCGTGCTGGCGCCAGCGAGGGTGGCAGTTGGGGACATCGCTCCGGGGGCCGGTCCCCATCCCGTGCCGGGGTCTCAGCACCGTGTCTCTCTGTTCCAGCAGCATATCCCACCGCCTACGCGCCCATCAGCCAAGCCTTCCCCCAGCAAGCGCCCATCATCCCGCAGCAGCAGCGAGAAGGTAAGGGGGCACCCCGCCGCGGGGCCGGCTGCTCTGCCGCTCCCGGTGGCCCCCGCCTCGTGGCTGACGTGTGGCCCTGTCCTTTGTGTGTCACCCAGGTCCCGAAGGCTGTAACCTGTTTATTTATCACCTGCCCCAGGAGTTCGGGGATGCGGAGCTCACGCAGATGTTCTTGCCTTTCGGCAATGTCATCTCTGCCAAAGTCTTTGTGGACCGTGCCACCAACCAGAGTAAATGCTTTGGTAAGTCAGCTGTCTGGGGCTCTCCCTGGTGGCCGGGCAGCACCAATGGGTGACCAAACCCAAAGCAGCGTGGTGGCTGTCACCCCAGGGCTGAAGGACCACGCCGTGCCAGGACAGAAGGACATAACCTCCTGCTGCCACTAATTAGGATGTCACTGCATCACCTTAGTGTCCCCAGACCTCATAACCCTGGTGTCCCTGCAAACACACGTACCCCAGTGTCCCCACAGATCCCGTCAACCCCATGTCCCTGTGGATCCTCTCACCCCAGAGTCCCCACAGGCCCTGCCACCTTGATGTCCTCACAAACCTCGGTGTCCCCAGAGATGTCATCACCCAGCACCGTGCAATTTGGGGCTGCATTGTCCCCCTGACCTTCCGCATCCCAGAGGCCATTCCTGGACTTTGTGAGCCCATCTGAGGGAGCATGGGGTTCACGATGAAGCTGGGCCGTGACCCTGTTGCAGTCGAGCAGCGAGGTGTGATGCTGATGGTGACAAACTGTCCCCCCCTCTGTCCCCCGTCCCTCGCCCCCAGGTTTCGTCAGTTTTGACAATCCGACTAGCGCTCAGGCAGCCATTCAGGCCATGAACGGCTTCCAGATCGGCATGAAGAGGCTAAAAGTCCAGCTAAAGCGGCCGAAAGATGCCAACAGACCCTACTGACCCCTGCCCACCCTGGCCCTATGGAGAGGTAAGGTGGGGACCTGGGGGTGTCACCTACAGCACCGCTGTTTTTAGCCGGATTTGCTCAAAAAATGCCTGTGCTGGGCTCTCTGCTCCCAGAAGACTGTGTGGGGCTGGGCGCTTGAGATAAAGAGCGTCCGTTTTGGGTAAAATCCCAGTGATGTGGGATTGGTGCTTCAGCTGGGCACTGCCGGGATGGGCCAGATCCTGCCCTGCAGCCGTGGATCGCTCACGGAGCCTTCGGTGTCTTGCAGGTTGGGCGTCCCGCAGTGTCTGACGACTTTCCCCTTCCCCAAGTGCAGTATCCAAACCCGTAACTCTCTTTCTTTGCAACATGTCCCGGAGGAGGAGGAATAGGAGGAGGAGGCGATGGAGAAAAAAAACGCGAAGAAGAGAGCCATTCTGGTCGTAGCTTTTCTTTTCCTTTTTGATTTTATTTTTTGATCCAAACGGTCTTGTTTGTTTCTTAACGGGATTGAGAGAGCGAGGAAGGCAGGAAGGAGAGCGATGCGGCAGTGGTAGCGGGGCTGAGATTCGCTGCTGGCCGCTTGCTGGGACTCGCCAAATCCCTCGCCGGGAGAGAGGACCAAGGCCCGGGCGGCCGGGACGTGAGCTACCTTTTTAAAGCACTCATTTGCTGCTACAAATTTCCCAGGAGGAACGAGGAACAGAGGCTCCAAACGGACTTTAAACCAAAGGCAGCGGGAAGGGACCAGCCTTGGGCGTTTCACCTGGAGGATGCTTGTTTGGAAAGAGAAATCATGATTGTTTTTTCCACGTCTGGCTGGGAAAAAGAGGGAAAAAAAAAGGATAAAAGGATGTTGGACTTATAGAAGATATATATAAATAAGTATATATATATATATCCCATGGAGCAGGGTGGCGGGACACGCACTTCCCCCTGCTTGTCACTGGCACAGGGACATAGGATTACTTGTTTCAGAGTCATATCATTCCTTAGAGTTTAGGGACCAAAGGACTATTGCTTTTTTAAATATATATATAAATAAATTAATTTAAAAAAAAAACACACAAAAAAAAAAACAGGAAGAAGAAAAAAAAAAGATTTAAGAAAAACCTCGGGCGCAAGAGCTGCGAGCGGCGCCAAGAGGAGCTTAAGGGCTCAGTCTGGGGGGGCTGATTTGTGGCTGAGCGCCGGGGAGGGGGGGATGTAGAGGGGTTTTTGGGGGGCTGCGGCGGCCCCAGCAGCCAAATCTGGTCAAAAGAGCCCCTCGGTCGCCTGCAGGAGACGGCGAAGCGAATTGGTTCTTTGGCCCTTTTGTGTTTTTTTTTTTTTTCTGTTTGTTTTTCAGCCAAAAAAAAAAAAAAAAAAAGAAAAATGTGAGGTTTCGGCAGAAATGAAGCGAAGCAAAATAAAATTATTTTGTCAAAATCTTCACCTTGGTTTGTTCTTTGGAGCAATCACTGCATGCTGGCGTCCTGCTGCGAGCTGGGACAGCGCTGGCGCGGCCGCGCTTCTTCCCCGGAGAAGGAAATGGGATGGGACCCAATGTGAACCAGCAGCCTCTTGTTTTGGGGTTTTCCTTTGCTTTTTTTTTTTTTTTTTTTTTTTTTCCTGGAAATTGACATTTCCTGAAGGTATTTGCCTCCACAAGCTGGAGAAGTGGGTGCGAGCAGCATCTCTGGGGCAGGAGCAGGCCCCCAGCACTGCTTGCCCATGGTGTCAGCGTTGTTTCGAAGCGATGGGGACCTTTCGCAGGGCATTGGCGCGTCCCCTTGGGTGTTCCCTCGCTGCCACACCGGGAGACTTCAGTAAACGTGGGAAAGTGGCTTTATTCATTTTATTTTTAAGGGAAAAAAAAGCCCACAAACCTAAGCAAAAAACGATGGCATGGTCTCAGCCGCCGTGCAGCGGGGAAGGGCAGTTTGGGTTTTTTATTTATTTCAGGTTAACCCCAGGACCACGGTTAACCGCGGCGCGAAGCTACATCCCCGTCCCTTCCCCACAGCCCCTGCCCACCAGGGTGTTCAAAGAATTTTACTACGCCACGACAGATTTCTTTTCTCTTTTTTTTTTTGTCTGTTTTTCGTTTTTTGCATGTTTTTTTTTTTGTTTTTTCTTTTTTGCTTCAGTTTCTCGACTTCGGTAAAAACTGCCGTCGTTGTAAACACGAGGAGGGACGGCCACCACTGGGCACACGCCGTGCCCCACGCTGGCTCAGGGACGATGTGGGGACAAGGGGACCGCTCAACCCGCCCGCCACGCGCTCGCCACTTCATGTCTATGTACAGGGAGGTGCCGCCGGTGCCCCCGCTTCTGCCCTGCCCGGAGCCGCGCGCGTCGCCCGGCCAGCGCGAAATCCACTCGCCCGTCCTCAGCCAAGGGCCCTCGCTCAGCGCCTGGGAGCGCCGCGGCGGGTCCCTGCCGCTCAGTTTGTGTACACCTGAGTCCCAATCACACGCATGATCTCCTTCTGGATTTTGGGGTCCTGAGTATTGATATTGGCGTCTCCCACTTGGCCGTCTTCGTACCTGGAGGGGTAGAGGGGGTGAGAATGGCCCGCAGGGGCCGGGCACAGGCATATGAGAGGTGGCAGAACTCACACAAAGAAGAAGCGGGTGCAGACGTGGTCCGAGACGGGGCAGACCCAGATGTTGCCGTGCTTCTGCAGGTCCTTGGAGGTGATGACTGCCGAGGGAAGGAAGGGGCTGTCAGGAGGGGGACAGGTGGCGAACGGGCACCGGGACGTTGCGCTGGGGACCCCAGGCCCCCCGCGGTGCCCAGCCAGGGAGGTGGGTGCTGCCCGTCCCCCGCCACCCCACGCAGCCCCGCACCTTCACAAAGCGCGATGCAGTTCAGGTTGCGGCTCTGGAGGAAGCGGGACTGGATGGAGCGGGTCTGCGGGGAGAGCACAAGGTGTCACCCCCTGTCCTGCTGCAGTCCCTGACACCCCCCCAGCCCCGTCCCTCCCGTTCCTGACCCCCACCGCTGCGTCCCCTGCCGTGTCACCTGGGGGATGGTGTTCATCCGGTTGTACCTCTGCACCAGCTCATCCTTTGAAGGCATCCGGTGCTGCCCTTTCCCCATCCCTGCAGAAAGCAACACGGTGCCGTCACTCCCCGCCCGCAGGGCACCCCAGGGGGATGCTGCAGCCAGTGGGCAGGAGCTCCCCGGGGTGACGTGGGGACAACGGCGAGGACACATGCCACAGACACCCGTGGGGACGGCCATGCGGGATGCTCCCGGCCCACAGCTGAACCCTGGGAACCCACACGGGGGGAGCAGCGGCTTTTGGAGCTGGCAAAAGGAAGAAGTGGCCATTGCGACACCTTAAATTTATCTTTTTGAGCCTGGAAAATGCTGATTTATTTGTGTTTTTTTTCTCCAGTGACCAAGAGGGCAGCATCGGAAAGCCCCGGGTTGGCAGGGAGAGGCTGATGCTGGTGGGATGGGTGTGGGATGTGGCCGGGAGGCCTTGGCACCCTGTTCCCACACGGCTCCTCCGGCCGGCACGGCACCGAGCGGCCCCGGGCCCATGCAGGGGGTGGGGTGGGAGCAGCAGGCGGGACGGAGCGGCGCAGGCAGCCTCTTACCTGAGTATCCAAAGGAAATACTGGAGATGGGGCTCAGATAGATGCCCTTGCCATAGGCTGCTCCATGCAGCTTGCAGGAAAACACCGGGGTGAGCGACACGAGGCCCACAGCAGCCTGGGCACTGGGGCACTGAGCCGCGGCGGCGGCGAGCAGCATCCCTGGGGCTGCCCACATCCCTCCCTGCCTTCCCGCCCTGGATTTGGGCCAGTGGCAGCCAAAGGTACCTGCAGTTTGGTGTAGGACGCGTTGACCAGCCCGTTGCGGAGGATGGAGTGCCAGTTCTCAATGTGAGAGCCGCTGCAAGAGCCAGCACCGTGTCAGCCCCGGCCCCACAGCGCCCAGCCCCGCGGTGCCCCATGGGGGTCCCAGCAGCCCCCCGCCACCCCCCAGTAGCTCACTGGAAAGCGAAGGTGCTGCCGTAGAGCTTCTTGGCGGTGCGGAAACGGGCTTCCTTGGCCGGGGGGCTGCTCAGCAGGAGGAACTGGTGTGAGGTGTGCATGAACTTCAGCTGCTACCAGCGGAAAGGGAAGAGCAAAGGCAGCGCCGACGGGGAGAGAGGACAGACAGACAGACAGACACAGATCATGCACGGCAGTCCCCAACCCCACGCCCACCCCAGCCCAGTGAGACTGCCCGGAGCCTGGCTGGAGGCCTTGGGCATGGTGCAAAGGCCAGGAGCCATCGGAGCTCACCCATCGCTGCCCGCAGCATCTCCTGGCTCTCGTCCTGTATCCCACCTCCCGCATCCCAAATCCTTCATCCTCCATCCCACAGCCTGCATCCAATGCCCCATATTCTTAGCACACATCCCGCAGCAACATCCTACATCCCATATCATGCATCCCATCACCTGCACCTTACCTCCCACACCCTACGTCCTGCATCCCATGCCCGTGCAGCTCTATCCCCATCCTAGCTGGGCCACTTACCCTGCTGAGAGGCAGCTTGACGATGTGGGACCTGTTGCTGGAGATGATCCTTGGGAAAAGGAGGAGGAGAAGGAGGTCAGACAGGGTGGTTTGACCCAGGATGTGAGTCCCACCCTGCTCCTGAGCCTTGGGTGCTGCCTGGTGGGTGGTCACAAACCCCAGGAGAAAGCAACCGCGATGGAGCAAGGGGCCTGAGCAGCACCCTCGGCCTTACCATTGCAGGAGGGGATGTGCCAGGGGGTCCAGCTTGTCCATCTGCTTCTTGATCTCCAGATAGGAGCCCTGGCAGAGGCACGGTGGAGGTGAGAGCCCCCGTCACCCACCCACCCACTCGTGAAGGGCACCAAAATGCCAGCCAATGGAGATGACCAATGGGAAGAGTCTCACATAGGGCCAAAATGTTGGGCTGGGGCCACACCACATACCTGGGTCATCTCCCGGATGGACATCACGCTGTCCAGGGCCTTCTGCAGCCGCTCGTAGTTCTTCTTCTGCACATGGGGCAGCAGAGGGGCGGCCGTCAGAGGGGTTCTCCAGCCCTGGCACTGGGGAGCGCCGCCCCACTGCTGCCCCACTGCTTACCTTGGGGTTGAAGGCGAGTGTTTTGGGGTCGTTGGGGTCCACCACAGAGGGATAAGGCTCGAAGATGATGCTTTTGCGAGGAGACTCCAGCGCAGCGCGGCACATGGCCACCAGCAGGTCCACCACCTGGGCATGGAGATGGCCAAGGGGCACAGGAACGGGGTGAGGGCAGCACCCCAAGGAGACGTCATGGTGGTCATCCCAGAGATGCCACCCTCATGCCATGCACCCACCACACCCCTGGTCCCCGTACCTCAGCACCTGTGGCCACCTCCTCCGCCGCACCAGACATCACGCCCAGGGTGTAGAAGGAGAAGACGCACAGCTCCCGGGTGCACACGGCCGGCTGCGGAGGGGACAGGCAGCACGTGTGGCATCGGTGACAGTGACACGGGGTGACATTTGTGCCATGCCCGGCCGCTGCCACCACCACACCTTGAGCATGGAGCCGTTCTGGAAGACGTGCTGCTCGTCGCACACCACGCAGTACTCGTTGAGCGTCGGGATGCGCTGCTCCGCAGTACTTCATGATCTGCGGGGCAGGATGTGGCAGTCAGCCCCGTGGTGGCAGCGGTGGCCTGGCCACTCGGGTCCCTTACGCCTGGGAGATGTTTGGGACCACTGCGAGGGACCACAGCAGGAGCCAGCCCCTGCTTTGTGGGGATGTGGGGCAGTGGGGAGATGCTCTGGGTAGCGGGATGGGGACACGTGTGACAAGGGACAGAGGGGACAACGCTCTGGGTGCCGGGCCAGGTCCCAGTAGGGACGCAGGGCGTTCACCTGGACGAGGAAGCCGTACTCCAGCGTGGGGACATTCTTGCAGTGGCCACCAACCTGCGACAGAGCCCGAGCAGTGCCAGCTGTGTTATCCTTTCCCTGCACACCCCCTGCCGCATCGGGAGACCCCGAAGGCCTCGGGTGCCGCCAGCACCTCTCCGGGGGGACACGGCCGCACCGGGGACGTGCCACCCGCCCCGATGCCACTGCGGCTGGGGGTAGGGGAAGGGGAGGGAGAGCAAAGCGAGCCCCGAGCTGGGGTTGGCACCCACCAGGATGTTGAAGGGGGCGACACCTGCCTGGGTGCTGGGGGCATAGCCGAAAACCTCCCCCTTGGGGTTCTTCACCGTGCAGGACACGGAGCGGTTCATCAGGCGGTTGACGCGCACCTCGGGCGCACCCAGCTTGCCCTTCAGCACCGAGTCTGGGATGACGGGGAAGCTGGGCGACCTGCGGGCACAGGACCAGGGGGCTGCTTGTCACCAGTTACCCTCCTCAGATGGTGGCTTCCCTCCCAACTCCTCCTTTCCCATAAATCTGGCACCCAATTTGTGCCTTTCTGCGGGTTTTTGGGAGCTCCCGCTCTCCTCAGGCAGCATCTGAGGTGCAAATGGGGAAACTGAGGCATGGTGACAGAGGATCGAGGGTCCCTGGTGAAGGTGACGTGGGCTGGGACCCTGGGGACACAGCTGGAACCTTACTTGGGGATGGGGGAGAAGATGCTGAGGCCCGCTCGAAACTTCTTGATGGTGCCACTCGTCTTGAACCAACTGTGCCGCTTCTCCTGCTGGGTCTTCAGGAAGTCGTTGCTGAGGTGTTTCCATTGCTGGGATGTGAACATGCCCAGGATCCTGCCAGAGAGGTGGCATGGGTGCCCCAGCAGGGTGCCAGCACCCAAGGGTGCTTTGGCCAAGCTGGGTGCCCCCTGCCTCCCAGCTCCTCATCACCAGAACCCAGTGACAATCCCATCCTGGGGCTGTAGGGCGGGCAAGCAGACATGGCATGATGGGGACAGGGGCACTCGGATGGTTTTGAGGAAAAACACTCCCGAGCCACCTCCCCACCACCCCGGGTCCCTGCAGTGTTTCAGCTCTTACTTCTTCAGCTGCAGACCCAGCCCGAAGCCCTCCTTGTTGGACGGCTGGAAGACCTCGATGGACGGTTCTGCCAAGAGCGAGCCACTCGTCACCCAGCGCCCATCCCATGGGCACGTGGGGACACCCCAACCGCCCATCCCCACTCACCGGGGCCATCGAGGTACTGGGAGAGGGAGAAGCGCAGGCGCAGGACGATGGGCTCCGTCCGAAGCACCTTCCACGCTGTCGCCACCTCCTCCTGCCGAGGGACAGCCATGGGGACCCCAGCTGGATCCAGGGCACCCGGGGGACACCCCACCGGCATCCCACCACGGGGACACCCCCCGTGCCACGGGAACTCACATCGAGGAAGCTGATGTTCACGTGGAGGTCGATGTCCACGTCGTCGATGGTCCCATACTCCCTGCAACAACACGAGGTGAGGGGATGGGGTGAGGCTGGCGTGCCCCCTGTGCCACAGCGGGTGGCCTTGTGGGCATCGTGACGGGCACACGTGGCTCCCTGCGTCCCGGGGTGGCATGGGGAGAGTGCAGGGGACCTGGGGATGCCACGAGTGGGTGACAAGGAGTTGTCACAGCCAGGGGATGTCACGGTGCACACACACCCACCTGACGGACACGGCATTCTCGCTGTAGATCTCCTTCACGGCCTCGATGTCGGCGTCCAGCTGCGGGTGGCGGTACAGGTCGGCGGCGCAGGTCCCCTGTGGCACAGAGCCCATGGCATCGTCAAACACGGAGCCCCTGGACCCCAATAAATGGGCAGGGGCTCCCCAAGCCCCCCAAGTGCCCAGTGGAACCTGTCCCCAGCAGTGGCTTTACCTGCACCCCGTAGAGGAACTCCTCGGACTCATTGTCCCCGTCGGAGTCATCGTCCGTCCAGTACTGGCCCTTGAGGTCCTGGGGAGAGCAGGTTGGGGGGCAGAGAGTTAGGGGGGGAGAGAATTGGGGGGAGAGGGGTTGGGGAGCAGATTGGGGGGTTGGAAAGGGAAGTTGGGATGGGTCTGGGGGCAGGCTGAGGGAGCAGGTTTTGGGGGGGAGATGCTGGGGGGAGGTTTGGGGTTGCAGGTTGAGGATGGTGAAGGATTGAGGAGAGAGCCTGGGGGGGGGAAGCCTGTAGGTAGATTAGGGGCCAGGTTTAGGGGTACAGGTTTCAAGGAGCAGATGGGGGAGCTGGGTTGGGGGGCAGATGTGGGGGAGGCAGATTAGGGGGAGAAAGCTCAGGGGGCAGGTTTGGGGGTGCAGATTGAGGGATAAAGTTTTGGGGAGGTGTAGGTTTGGGGGGCAGATTGGGAGGTGCAAGTTTGGGGATTCAGGTCCAGGTAACAGGCATGGGGAAGGTTTGGGGTATAGGCAGGGGAAGCAGTTTGGGGGTGCAAGTTTGGGGATACAAGCTTGAAGTGTAGGCAGGGAAAGCAGTTTGGGGGTGCAGGCTTGGTGGGTGCATGATGAAGGGCGCAGGTTTTAGGTTTGTGGGACTGATTTGGGGGGCAGGTTTGTGGGTGCAGGTTTGCAGGGCAGGTTTGGGGGTGGCGGTTTGGGGTGCAGGCAGGAGGGTGCAGGTTTGGATGAGAGATTTGGGGATGCAGATTTAGGGGCTGGGTCTGGGGGCAGCTTTAGCGTTCAGGTTTTGGGGCACAGGCAGGGGGGGACCCGCATATCACCACCCAGGGACCCCGCAGCCGATGGGTGGGGGGGGGCTGCACCTCACCCCTCCCTCCCTCATCGGGGGGCTCCCACCCCACAGGAGCCGTTTGTGGGGGACACTGAGGGGACACGAAGGAGACGGAGGGGACACGGGGGGGACCCCAACCCCACGCTCGCCGCCGTCCCCCCCCTCAGCGCTGCCACCGCCATCCCCCTGCCGGCCTGTGCGGCGAGGCCTGGTCTCGCCACCACCGCCAGGCCCCGAATGATGGCGGGGGAGGGGAGGATGCTGTCCCCTTGTCCCCCTGTCCCCTCGTCCCCGTCCCCACGGCCGTCCCCTCACCATCTCAGCGCTGGCCGCGGCCTGCCCCCGGCCCTGCCGCCTCCATGCTGCCGGGCGGGCGGGCGGCCATCGGGCCTTGACGTCAGGGCCCCGGCGCCTCCGTCTCCCAGCAACGCCGCCCGGGAGGTGACGTCACCGCAGGGACCCCGACACCAAACCCCAAAATGTCCCCAAAATGTCCCCAGGGACACCCCGAGTGTGTGTGTGTGGTCCCTCACGGCCCCACATTGCATCCCCACTGCAGCCCTCAGTGTCCCCAGTGTCCCCAGCACAAGGTCCCAGTGCAGAATATCCCCGTGTCCCCAGTGTCCCCATGGTGTCCCCAGTGTCCCCATGGTGTCCCCACAGTCCCAGCAGAAGGTCCCCACAGTGCTGGTATGAGGTCCCCAATGTCCCCAGCCCGGTGTTCCTGCCCCTGTCCCCCCTTTTTGGCAGGGCACAGGGACACGGCACGCTGCCACACCCCGCGGTGCCGTGGGGACACCCCACACCTTGTCCCCGCCACCACCTTGGACTTTACCCCAGGTGCCACCAGGCGCTGGGCACGTGAGGAAGGTGGCAGGGGGACACGTGGGACGGGGATGTGCCACCCCAAGAGGAAGTTTTGTCCCCAAATCTGTGTTTCCGCCAGGGTGAGTGGGGTCAAAGCACCTCGTGGGGACGGGTGGCTTGTCCCCAGTGGTGGCACTGCTGTCCCATGGGGACAACAAGCAAGGGGTGTGCACCATGAACGTGGCACTGTCCCCATCCTGGTCCCCAAATGTCCCCTCCGTGGGGGCTAACAGAAGAGCAGGGGACGCTCCCTCAGGACTCCCAAGCCCAGCAGTGACAATGGTGTCACCACCTTCCAAAGCCACCCCCAAAAATTCCTCTTTTTGGCCAAAACAGCCAAATGGCTCAATTCCTGCATGCTACATTGAGGTTTGGTGGAAAACAGGGCCAAAAAGCAGCATTTTGGTGCCCCCTCCAAGGGCCACTGAGATTTTTGGGCTCTCGGGCCCAGCAAGTAACTCGAGACTCCTATTTTTGTCCCCAAGTGTCTATTTTTGTCCCCAGAGCACGGCGCTGGCAGCACAGGGGATGGCCTGTGCCCCCCGCTGCCTCCATCTCCTGTGGGGTGCTGCTGCGTGTAGGGCACCGCGCGGGACCCAGCCGCATGGGCACCTGCCCTTTTTTTCCCCAGAACGCCTGTTTTGTCCCCAAAACTTGGGGACAACCATAAGGACAGTCGGGGGACACCGCGGGGTGGCCGGGGGGGTCGAGGGAGGCACCACGCGGTGCCCCCCGCCCGCCCAGCGCCCCTGCAGGTACCGCGGGCAGGGGGCGCGGGGGGGGTGAATTGAGGGGCGCGGCCCCTTTAAGAGCGGCGCGGCGCCTTTAAGAGCGGCGCGGCCCCTTTAAGAGCGGCGGCCACTCTCCTCCGGCGTGCCCGCCTGCTGCGCCGCCGCCTGATTGGCTGCGGGGCGCGTGAGTCGCCTCACTCCTCAACCGCAGCTTGCGCTTCCGCCGGAAAAAGTAGTCCCCGCTTCTCCCCTTGCGGCGCGAAGCCGGCGGAGGGATCCGTGGGGGCGGTGCTGCGGCCGGGATCACCTTGGCGGCGCGGCCGGGCCACGCGCAGAGGAGCGGCGGCTCTCGGGCAGGACGGGAGCGGTGCTTGGCGGCGGGAGCGGCACCAGGAGGTAACGGCGGCCCCGGACAGGGAAGGAAGGGGGCGGCGGGCGGGCGCTGGGGACCGCCGCCATCCCCGGTGCCCGTGCCGAGGCCGGGGGGCTCCCCGCAGGGCCGGCCGTTAGGGGTGAGCGGCCGTTAGGGGGGCGCGGCCGTTAGCGGGGAGCGGTCTCTGAGGGGCGCGAGGCCCCGCGTGTCCCTGGCGGGCTGCCCGGCCTCGCGCCGCCGCCCCGAGCCGCTCCCTGCCCCCGGGCGCTGAGGCAGAGCCGCGGCAGCGCTCGTGTCGGCGGCCCCGGGCCCTTCCCACTGCCTCCTGCCCCCCCCGTCCCCGGTTGCTCGGGGGCCGCTTCGCACCGAGTTTGGGGTGGGAGGGGGGGGTGCGGGCAGTGGGACCCCCTCGGCTGCCTCCCCCCGAGCGGTAAAAGCAGCAGGCGAGGGCTGGGGCGTGCTCAGGGCTGGTTTCGGCGCTACCCAGCCGGCAGCCCCGGGGATGCGCTCAGGGGGGATGCCGGTGATTAACGCGCCTGGAAGCGCCCCCCCGTGCTGCAAGGACGGCTCCTGACGGCGGCTGGCACCGGCACCCGAGGGCTGGGCCGGGCTGGGCTGGGCTGGGCGGCGAGGAGCTGCTCGGGTTGCCTCAGTGCCTCCGGGGAAGCTCCAGGGCTGCTTGTGCAACCCTAAGGGCTGAGGTAAAACCCCCCCACCGTCCTAAGCACGTTTTTGTGTCCCATTTCCAAAGCAGAACTTAAACTTAAGTATTTCTAGGAAGGAGCCCGCACGTGGTGCTGTGAGAGCGCTAGGTGTGCTCGAGGGAGGGACAGCCCTGCGGTTGCGGTTCGGTGGCCCCATGTGCCATGCTGCTGCGGCCGGCTTAAAAACAGTCTTTTCTTTCAGCACAGGGAGCTCTGCTGCCGGCCAGGTGTTGGACGCCGTGATTCAGGGCAAAACCCTGCCCCGAAACTTTGCTTTCACTCGAAAGCACTCTTCCTGCTGCTGGCAGAGACCGCAGCGCTGCATCCAGGCCTCCCACCCGAGCCGTCTGTTTTTTCCCAACTAAACACACGTTTTTATTAAAACCTCGAATTTATTGCCATTAGCCGGAGCGCCGCAAAGCTGGCATTAATTCCCCTTCCGTGCCCCGAGTTGGTAATTCAATTTAACACAGACAAAATGTTCCTCTGGCTGAGCGGGCGGGCCGGGCCACGTGCTAATCCTTTATCTCCCTGTGTCCCCGGCTGGGGCTGGCCCTAAGGGCAACCGGTGGCTGCTGGGAGGGGGCCGGGGTGGCTGCAGCGTGCTGTGATGGCCGGCACGTAGGGAATGGGGCTGCAGTACCCTGCTGCTGCCACTGCCAGACCCTGCGCACAACATCTCCATCCCCAGGCTGCTCACGCGGTTGGGCGGTGTGTGGCTGGGGGAGTTCAGTTTCCACCCCCAACTATGCATACATTTAAAGGAAAAAAAAGGCCTTTTTTTTTTGTCATGTTAAAAAGCTTTCCGCTCGATAGTGGGGAGGTTTGATTTGTGCTGGTGTGGCTGGAGGGCTGCTCGGCCTGTGTTGGAGCACTGCACAGTGAAGTTGGTAGGTGTGTCTGCTCCGGCTGTATCCTCTAGATAAGTTCTTCCTTGTCACCAGCAAACACCTGATAGTCACCTCTACTGATTTATGGTACTTTAAGCCTGCTGTGTACCTTTGCCCTCTGGGGAAGGCAGGCACAGCAAAGCCATACGTGGCTCTGACAGCTTACCCACTGGCACACGGGGAGAGCACCAGTGTCACCCAGAACTGTTTGGGCAAGAGTGTCCTCCCCAGTCCCAGCACCCAGCTTACTGCAGCCCGAGCCATGGCTGAGCTGCGGGCGTGCTTGGGGTTGCATCCGGCCTCCAAAAGCCTTGCATTTTGGGAGGCATCCCATGGTTGCGTAAGGATGTGGCGTGGCATCCTGCTGCAGCTGGGAGTTGTCCTTCCCTGGAAGAGGAACTGACCCTGTTAAAAGCCTGTTTTGCCACAGAAATTTATTTTTAATTGCAGCGGAGATCCTGAAGCAGGGAACCATCTCTGCCCGGAGTGGCGGTGGTTAACGCCAGCCCTGCAAAGTCACACTTCCCTCTGTTGCAGACTGAGATAAGGGGGTTGCAGCGGGGATTGCCGCTCTGCGCAGCCTCTGCTTTCTTCCTCCCCCGGGGCAGGGCTGGAGATGCCGTAGACGTAACGTTTCTTGCTGCCGACCGCAGGATGAGCCGGCTCCACTTAGTCACCTTGCTGCTGAAACCGGGCACGCCGACCTCAAACGGTCCCGGCTTTCTAGAACGTTCAACGGCAAGGCAGGCACCAGCCATCTTTGGTGCACCCTGCCTGGAGCACGGACAGCTCGCAATCAGCGTGGGGATTTATGAGTTGTGCCCCGAGGAAGGAAATGAGATTTATCCAGGGAATCAGGCTTTGCAGGGTATTACTTTCCCCCTTCCGAGCTCCACTCAGACTGAGGGCACGGTGCCTTCAGGTGTCCGTGAAGTCCTGGTTTCCCATTGCTTTTTATTAAATGCCAGACATTCCTGCCAGATTTATAAAACTGGTCCTTCCAGGAGAATTCAGTAGATGCTTTGTGAACGTGTGGTAAAGGGAGGCAGGAGGAAGTATAAAAACCAGAAGCATTACTGGTAGCAGGCAGATGAGTTTTTTCTTTTTTTTTTTTTTTTTTTTTGCTGCTGCGTTTCTGCTCTCGCCCTCAGCCAAGGTCCCAGCACCGCAGTTCTTCTGATCTCCCTGGGTTTGCAGGAAAATCTTGGAAAGGGGATTCTGACTCAAGGCAACTTCACTTTCCCTTTTAATAAATTTGTAAAGCCTTTGGGGGTTAAAAAAAAAATTAGCATTACAAATGGCTCGAGTGGGTGGGGGACTTCCAGGAGACAGGAGCTGCTTATGAAACAGGCAGAGCTCCTCCACGTGTTCTCAGAAAGTTGCACCAGTGGTGCTCCGGGTGCAGCCTGTCTCATCTTCCTCCACATCCTCTTTGGAGGTGCACGGAGGCAGTTTCCCAGCAGAGCCTCTCTGCTCGTGCCTGGCGCTGTCAGACAGGTGCTCCGGGATGCGGCAGCAGCAGTTAGAGGGCTGAAACACAGTGTTCAGGTCTGACCAGCGGGCATTCCCGTAATAATGTGACTTTGTCGAAGCTTTTTATGTGGGCAGGCTTTCTTGTTCTGACTGCAGTGAATCAGCAGCTTCTGGCAGGGCTGAGGTGAAGGACGCTTGCCAGGACAAATTATGGTTTTCACTGGCCTGTCTCCTCGCTCCGCTCGGCGAGGCAGTGAGGCGGGGGTGACTCAGGGCTGCCTGCGAGAGGATCCGCACGTAGGTGGGGAGGGAGGGGGGGGGGAGAGAGGGAGGGCCTGGCAGCACAGCGCCGCAGCAGGGTCTCTGGGGACCTCCCTGCCCCTGCCTTAGCAGCACGATTTCATTCTTCCGCAGAACCGTCAGCTTCCT